GGCCTCGAAAATCTGGAATTCTGGAAAAATTCCAGATTGCAATCTGGAATTCTAGAAATCTGGAATAGTTAACCCTCGCAAATCTGGAAGTCTGGAAGTCTGGGCTCTTGCTACTCATCAAAGTGCATGCCGCAAACTTTTGACCAGGTCTGGAGTGTCCTCTTCTACTCGCTCTGCGAACCTGGCTTTTGCATCACTGGACCAAGCACAGCTGTCACAGACTGTACATAAGCGAGACCAGTTACCTGCTTGCCGCTCCATGTCCACGGCATCGACAGAGCATCAGATTCGCACAGTATGGGACTATGTCGCGCGGAAACCCTTAACATAAAGCACCGAAACGGAAACCCTGAACTGTTACGCCGAGAACCCTTAGCACGAAACCCTTAAACCCTGAACTACTAAAAAGTTGCAGCGAGGTCATCGGAGTCGATTCTCGGCGTACCTGATCAGATGGGGGCGTGGTTTTGGGGAGGGGGGGTACCATATATATATATATATGAGAGTACGACTTGTTTCGCTTCGAGCTCAGCTTGAGAGTGAAATGTTGAGAACATCCTCACCGCCCATGTTCTTTCCCTCCGCTGAGAGCTGCAGTCTACTGTTGGGACTGCCTGATGCCAGTTGGTTTTTGCGTCACTGCGATGTTCAGTGCTACTTGTAGATGCCTTGACCTCAGGCATTTCCGTGGCATCGACAAGTCGCTCGTAACGTTGATACAGTTTGTTACCCTCGATTCCGTTGCCAGCATTTATTTCCCATTGCCACTCAGTTTCAATGCAGCTTCAGCAAGAGGATTAGTTCACGTTGTCCACCAGTCAAGTCGGGGCTCCAGGAGGACAGGAGTCCAAAGCAGATCCTTCCACACGTGGAACACACTGACAGGATAATGCTGAAGCCATATCTCAGCGTGTTCTTCCTGGGACTGATCGTAGTTATCTCCATCGGGCTCATGAACCTCGTCACGGCTGCTGTATTGGAGTACGGATCTCGGACACAGTCGCAATCTGTGGACTGATAGTTCCACCATGCGGCCATTCAGTGGCATGTCAGTCGCAAGGAATGCAATGCAAGCAGCTGTCCAAGATGCTGAAGCAGAGAAAAGTGCAATGCTAAACACTGTAAAGGACGGCTCTTGTGCACGTGTTTGTCTTGTCAGCTCATGTTGGAGCTTGTATGATGGTCTGGATGCAGACTGCATGACCACAGGATGCCATTCCGGAGCTGTTGAAGATATTTCAATCTATCGACAAGGATCCTCGGTGAAGTGTAAGTAGATATTTGCAGGCCAGCACTTGCTGATAGTGATGTTTGTTTTCAGGCAGAGCAGGCTGCACGACACTGCTGCTGCTGATTGCTGTCGCTGCTGGCTGCTGCTGCTCATGCTTGTGCTGCGCCTGCCACCATCGCTGTTTCCACTTCTCATGACAGTCGTTTTTGCCGGCTGTAGGATGTCAGTGCAGCAGCCACAACAACACCAGCACAGCACACCGACGAAGGCGACAATAGGGCAGCAGCAACAACGACAGCAGCAACGCATGGCGGTGATGACAATGCGACTGATGAGAACGGAGATGGGGTTCTGCTCCTTGGGGCTGACAGCTTGGTGCTGCTCGCCCCAATCCTGCGCTGTTGCTGCTCCACAAACTGCCACTTGAGAGTTGCCGTTCAAGGTTGCTTGGATGCTCAGGACAACAGCGGCATCTTGACGCACGATGAGGTTATGTCTGTAGAAGTTGATATTCTGCCGAAGAAATTCCTCCAGACGGTGCATGTGAACAGCATGCTGGAGCTTTTTGACTACCTCGACGTCGCTGGACTCATCTTGACTCGATTGCTGACAGTGAAAGCTGTTGCAGAAGATATTTTCATTCACCAAGGTGGATCAAACTGGAGAGCGCTTTGGCCACATTTTGCTGCACATTTCTGTGTTGCATGTGGGAGAGAGCTCGTGCTCTTGCACAAGGTTGACGAGAGAGGAGTTCATCGAGGGTCTTCTTGATCTTTGCCTGCGAGACATGCCTTTGCACATGGTGCAAATGCTGAAGCTTCTCCACCTAATCTTGGGGATGTCAAAGAAGATTGACATACACCTTGAAGCCCTGCGTTCCCGGCAGCAAACTGTCGTTCTGCCATCCGCCATCTAGAAATCTGGATCAAATGATCTGATCTGACGCCAGGCAGTAGTAGATTGCCAGGCCAGGCTTGCAGCAGCAGCAGCTCAGAAATCTCAGCACTCTGTTTTTAAGAGGCGCCCTTCCCTTTGCGAGAATATCTGCATCGCGAAACCGCGATTGGCAGTCTAGCTCAGGGTAGCTCGTGCTGGCGTTCATCCTGCCTGAAACCAGGCTTCCACAGATCGGGCTCGCACCTGTGCAGGTTTGAAGCGCCACCGGACCATCGCTATCCCCACAACACAGGGGCTCAGACACTTGAGGTCGGGTTCGATCTGGTGCAGCTTGAGCAGCTGCTTGTGATCACATCTTGTCGAATGCTGTGACCAGACCAATGAAAGCAATGCAGATATGAACAAGACAAGAGCGATGCTGGGGACACGAAGTCAGCCTTAGGCTTGGCTTCTCTGGGAGAGCCGAGAGGCAAGATGCATTTGACTCTGCAGCCTCGAGCTCTCCAAGCTCAATTCATCAAAAACCGAAGCTAGATGATGTACGGTGCAGCGTTACTACCGTATAAAGACCTAACTACGGTCTACGCGAGTCCATGCGATACTGTTGGTGGCTTGCATCCAAGCTTCCAGCGGTCAGCGTCTAGCGAGTTGCATGAATTTTGGTGCTCCCTTTCGCCATGCAGTTTTGCGGCTCCTGCTTCTGCATAGGCTCCATCGTCTCCTGCAGCCGATTGCGCATACTGTGTAAGCTCTTGATTCTGAGGTTCGGCATTCGGCTCGTCGTCTGAGCTTCTGGACACTAAGCTGCCATGTGAGCTGCGGTTGAGCTGCCCGAACCGTGGTAACCCTGATGGAGAATCAAGTTCATTTTTCCTTCAGGGCAGGCTGCCGCCAGCACGGCCGACTGCTTCGAGAGCACTTCCGGAGGCCTGGCCTTTCAGTCCGTCCAGCTCGCAGGTGAGACATGTGTCCGAGGGTCGAAGATTGCCAGGCGAGCCCAGAGAGCCCAGTGAGCCGGGCGAACGGGATCCTGTCGGTGCCTTTCAGGCCCAGAGACAAAGGCGAAGGGTAGAAAACTGTTTAGACTTGCGGCACCTCCAGGCGCCGCTGGGGAGCGGTCGCCATTACTGCAGCTTTGGCGGCCAAACGACGTGCCCGAGCTGCCAGCCCTGAGCTGTCCCTGGTGGCGACTCGCCACGAAGTGTTGTGCACCCAAATGCAACCAGACAACCTTGCCACCGCAGTGGATTCCAGAAAGCACGCTATTGAGTGATCAGGAGAAATCGCCGCTGGACAACCGAGCCGTGGCACTCAATACGTGTGTCGCTGTTCAGTTGTCTCATGGGTAGCTTTGGTCTGGAAATACAGCTAGGCGGCAAGACGAAAGCATGATACAGCATGCTCACAACATCGGCACTACGAGTGGCAGTCGCTGTGGTGGGATAGGCATTTCATAACATGCAAAGGCGAGTACAAGCCCATCACGTTGCGCAACGGGCTGCGTGTGCTTCTCTGCTCTGACCGAGCAGCCGACCGTGCAGCCGCAGCTCTTGATGTTCATGTTGGCCCGGCAGTGTCCAAATTTCCATTGCTGCCAGTGGGTTGCAATTTTTCGGTCTAACCTGCTTTCCCTGCAGGATACTTCAATGATCCGCCGGACGTGCAAGGTTTAGCCCACTTTTGTGAGCACATGCTCTTTCTTGGTACGGAGCAATTCCCAGAAGAGAGCAGTGCCTCGGTCTTTGCGATCATCCCAAATTGGCGAAGACTTGAGTCAGCTGCTCCTGGGAATCCCGTCTTCTCTTTCTGTTTTTGGACGAGGTTTCGATGCTTATCTGACTGCGAACAGCGGTTTTTCCAACGCCTTCACAGAGGCCGAGGACCCTCATGGCTGGACCCAGCCATGGAGCCTTCAAGAAACAGCAGCTCTTACTGGTGTGTTGTGCATTGTCTTGTGCCCTGCTTGCAGCATCTTGCAGCCAGCAGGACACCTGCTTCTTTTTCAGCTGCAGCACTGCCGGCCTGCGGTCCGCTCTGGAGCGCTTTGGAACCTTCTTTCAGAAGCCTCTCTTTACGGCCAGCGCGACCGAGAGAGAGGTGTGGGCATCAGAACTCCATTTGGCTTGTGCTGCAATTGCCGGCTTCGCCTGCAGCAGGTCAACGCTATCAACAGCGAGCACTTGAAAAATGTGCGGGCCCCTTAGGACCATGAACCGGTGCGGCAGCTCATGTTCCACGATATTTCAGCGCAGCTGCAGTTCGCCTTCTTTCACAAGTCTTCAGCAGTGGGCAGAGCCTTTGGTTTCCCCATGTCGATTGCATGAGTCAATAAAGAGCGAGTTGCACTGCAAGCGGCTGTAGTGAAACGAGGCCGAACGATGTTTTTCGCATGGGACAGGCACGGGGCTTTCCGATCGGTTCTCTGGTCTGAACTGCTAGAGCCCTAGAGGGGTTGGAATCGCGTTGAGACGGCAACCCCGAGCTTTGTCCTGTGGTGCCATGCTCGAGTGGCAGACATTCCCGTGCGAGAGGTCCTAAACAATCGGGCCAATCCTGCGCATCCGTATCACCGATTTGGGCTGCCTGGATTCAAAGTTCCAGTGCTTCACTGAGGGGTTTCGAGAAACTGGGGTCGAACTTTCGAGCATGGAGGGCAAGAATGTGTTGTAAGTTTGGATGGTTCTGCCTATTGCTCCCGGGAAGACTTGAAGCCATTGATTTGTGTATGCCGTGGATGTGCGACATGGAGTCTGCTTTCTGCTGCAGTGTGCATGGAACCTGCCTGATCATGTCTTGCTTGTATGGCAGAAACTGTGCGCTACCGTGCTTGTGCATTGGTGATAACATTCGAGCGTGTGTACATCGAGTATTAATACTGCCTGTCTGCCCATAGCATGATTTTAGCTGTGGAGAAGTGCCAGTTTCGAGAGGGTAAGCACTTGCTGATGGCATGGGTGTCCACCGCTCCTTGCGCTACACGGGGTCGCAGTTGCCATGATGTAAACCCACGCAGACATCTACTTCTTAGTCTTAGTCAGCCTCTGCTGGCAGGACAGGCAACATCAAGACTTTGCTGGAAGACACGGCCGCTGAAGGCCTGCTGACATGGGTGCGTTCAACCGCCATGAAAAGCTGTTGGGGTCGTGACTTGAATCCTGCAAAAGTACAGTGTTTTCTTCTTCAAAGAGCACAATGAACATTCTGCGCATGCAGTTTCGGAACCCTTCAGCCTCTGCGGTTGAGCAGCGTGCTGGCATCAGTCTTGCTCGACTGCCGAGCCAAAGTGATCGCCGCTGCCTGGCAAAGGAGTTGACCTCCGAGGCGAACTTCTGCGCTACTATCGCCGCGGCTCGCCGCATCGAGTTGGCAGCATGATCGAGAAATGCCTTCGCAACCCCATCCCAGGCTACTACAGAGCGCCGCTCATGACATTGTGTATCCTCGGCGACGAATCCCCAGACGTGCTCGGACGCCTCTTGAACTTCGAAGACCAATGCTGACTGGCACGCACACGCAAATCACGCAGATTGGGCAAGCAGACAGTGAAGAGTCCATGCCCTGTTCGAGCGCGCTTTCGTGTGTATGCACCCGCGCTGTCCCGCTCTTTCGTAAGCTCGGCAGGCAGGCAGGCACAGACAGACAGACACACATCCTCACTCGCACTCGGACAACACACACCACTATCAAGGATATGCCGAACAGTACTTTGGGGGAATTCCCGGTCTTGCTGAAGGTGGGGCCGTGTTAGTGAAAATGCTAGCGGAATGTAGCGTAGCTTCTGTTCTGGGCAAAGATTGGGCGGCCGGCAGAGTTGGGCCGAGAAGAGCTGGGTCCACAGGTGAGAGACTTGATCCTGCGGCGGCCTATGAAGACCAGCCGCCTTTCTTGCCGGAAGCTTTCGAACAAGGCCCATGCCCAAGCTAGGCCGTTTTGCGACTCTGCTTGCAAAAGCCGGGCTCGAGAGGAAGCAGCGGGAACTCTGTGCAGACCGATCATGGGCCTGTGTGAGCAAAGAGATCTTGCAGTTCCTGAGACTCGCGCAGCCACAGGAGCCGGACTGTCGCAGCTAACGAAACAAAAAGCGACGGGATCGCACGAGCCAGCTCAGAGGCTTAGACCAAGGTGTGGAAGGTGTAGCCTTGCAGCATAGACTTCTCTGAGAGGTGGAGTGCTCTCGCCTTGTAGCAGGCATCGAAGCTGTCCCCGTCGCTGATGCTCGCGAGCTGCAGGCGATCGCAAGAGCTGACGGACTAGCGTGACGAAACGGTGTTTCGTGCAGTTACTGTACCTCAGAGCAGCTGACGAAACGGATTGGCGTGGCATCCTGTCTCAGGTAGTGTTCCCGGTGCCGTTTGCACCGGGCAACGCCCGCAGAGTTGAAGCACAAGAAGCACCGCCTGCTCCAACTCGCGGTCGTCTTTCGGCCGACCATGGTTGCTTGTGAACTGTTTCCGATGTTACAGTCCCGTCGAGTCCTTTTTGTGATGTCTACCCATTCTGCTGCTTTACTGGAGTATGCCAGAGTTCACTCGAAGGCATGTCTGTCGAGAGCTGGCGGTGGTACAATCCCGCCTCTCATGTCGCTAGGCATGCATTGCGTGATGTGGATAAGCAAGTTGGAGCTGCTTCGGACGGTAGTGCCAGTGGATTCTACAACTTGCTGCTTGCTTTTTTGCACGACCTGGTCTGGTGGATGCCTGCAAATGCAAAATATGCCGATCTCGATCCTGTCTGAGCCTAGAATCTTAGAAAGGTCTAGACTCTAGACACAGTGCTGGAGGGCGCTGCAAGTAACTTGTTTCCTTGCTGCCTGCAGGTCGGATGTGTGCTTGGTCACGAGGGTCCGCACAGCCTTTGCGCACTCCTGCGGCGAAAAGGCCAGAATATGTATTGCACCTGCTTTCGTTGTAGAGAATCAAGCGTGCGCAGCTGGGTTCATGACTGTACGGCTTCTACATGAGGCTGGATCACAGAGCTCGATGTCAGTGGTGCCGACGACACTAGCACTTTCGCTGTACTGAGCTATGGCAGCATCAAGCAAAACTGTGTATCAGAAGCTCATCCAACTGGACATGGGAGTTGTTACCTGAGGGTGGTCTCGATGGAGCTTACGGAGGAAGGCTTGGAGCACAAGGCGACCCGTTTCGGAGCTTCATCTGTTTGCCACTTGTAAGATACACGGCGAAAACTAGGACATGTGAAGGCATTCCCAGGCTAGATATGCTGGCGGAAGTGGAAGTCTTTCCCTTTCCATGGTCCATTGGCTTGTCAGCCTTGCCGATCCAGGACGACATTCTAGAGCTGCTCTTTGGCTACTTGAACTTTCTACGGAACCTGCCGGCATGGCCACAGGATGTCGGCTTGCGCATGTCGGTCAAACGTGTTGCATGCACGGGCTCGGGGTGAGGCATGGTGAGGCGGAGGGGGGCGGGGGGGGGGGGGGGG